CCAATTTTTTTCTTTTTGTACAAAATCTTCATTAATATTATTTTATATATCCTATGATATTTAACTTTCAATTTGACAACTATACACGAAATATATTCTATATGCATATCTTTCAAAATTTTTATAATATGTATTTTTGTATAATAAACAAACACATAATAAGGTAATATATTAGAATAATAAAATGTACTACTCCCGTACTTCGTTTCATTCTACAACGTATTTTTTCTTTGAAAGTTTTTTTTTGCTCTAACCAGGATTTGATACTTTAGCTATTATCATTTATTTTTTGATTTTTTTTTTATAATACTCCCTTCGTCCCCTTTTGATAGTCCTTTATGGACATTTTTCACGGGAATTAATAAGCACAAATAAGAATAGTAAAAGTACATTGAAAAAGTAAATTGACATTGGGTATGAAAAAAAGTTGAAAGAGAGAAATTAATAAAAGTACATGGAAAAATAAAATTTACCTAGAAAATTTAAATTTGCACAAATATTGTTGCAAATTGGAGAAAATTTTGGTAAAAAATTAAAATTAATGGTTGTTGGAAAAAGCAAATGGGGTGAACATTTTGGGACTAAAATTTGCCCATAAGGGACTATCATTTGGGGACGAAAGGAGTAATAACATTACAATTCAATAACTATAAACACAAATATAAAACAAAATGAAAAAATCATGATTATTATTTTTTATAAAAATTAGTCAATTAAATTTGTAAAACATTGTGCCAGTTATAGTATGCTACTCCGTATAAAATATTTTGCCGGTCAAAATATGCCAACAAAATAGGGACATATGGGTATATAATTACATTGCTCGGGTTATAATTATAAATTGCATTCTCATGTAAAACACTATAATCATTAAATTTTTGTGTTTTTTTTAATGTTTAATAATCAATAACTTTTGATAACAACATAATATTAATTCAAGTTTTTCTGGAAAGAAATTCAAGTATTTGTTTCAATTAAAAATATTGTTTTTTTTATGGAAAAAAAATTATTGTTGTATTAACATTATAATTCACTAATTCATAATTTGATTAAGTAAAAACCGTGCGTTGCACGGGATTTAAACTAGTATTTATAAAGAGTAAAGCGTTTAGTGCTTCATATAATATATTTATTTTTTTGTCATTGAAGAGCAACAAGGGCAGGGGGAAATCGATCCCCATAATCTCCGAAAATCGTGATAGGAGCTCTAAGGCCCCTTTCACTTCACTTTATTTTTGCTAAACTGAAATTATTTTACTGAAACAAAATTATATTTACTGAATTTAAATTAATTTTACTGAAATTAAATTAATTTTATTGAACTTAAATTAATTTTACTGAAATAAAATTATTTTTGCTGAGCTGAAATTATTTTTACTGATTTTTTATTATAATTCTTTTTTAAGAAAACTGAATTTTACTGAACTAAACTTATTTTTACTGAATTGAAATTATTTTTACCAAACTGAAATTAATTTTACCAAACTGAACTTATTTTTGCTAAACTGAAATTATTTTTACTTAGTATTATTTTTTTAAGTTGAAGTGAACAAGGCATAACTACTTGAGTTATCCCTCACTCTCATTTAGTGCTTCATATATAGTTTACCTTTTTTGCAAGTAGTAACATTTAAGTTCTAGATTAATGGTCATAAGCTCATAATTCATAGACATAAATTTTAAATTGTCAAACCATTAATTAGTGATAGAATTAAAATTACTTTGCTAAAAACAAAAAGGAAAAGATATATGCAGTCCTAAGGGCTGCATATAAGAAGGTAAAAGTGCAAAAGATAAACATAAAATTAACATTTATTACACCGACTTACTCGTGAATTGTTGATTAATCATGTTCGAGAGCTTTTTTTGGCTTTACTTTATGTCACAAGTTTAGTTAACAGTATTATAAGGACAAATATATAAACAAATATTTTTAGAAGTATAAATGTCCGCATACTATTCTAAAAAGTTCAAAAACAAGGCAGTTTACATTAATGAAGGTAAATAAGTAAATAAATATTTTAGAGGGTATAATTGTCCAAACACTATAAATAAGAGTTTTTTCATACTTTTTAAAAGAAGAAGATAGGGATAATCTAGTACTGAGTAGGAATTAATGTTGCATTCTCTTTTGCTATATTTGACTTATCTAAACTTATGAATATGGTCTTATTTTCTTCAAATTATTATTAATTATTATTTATTTTTATTTTTTTTGACAAGAAGAGCTAATAAACAAACAAGTCAAAAAGAAAAATACAAAAGCTGACAATGTCGGGCTGTCATGGCCAACCAATGAGCCAAGTTAACCCAAGAAAGAGGGATCTTGGTAAGCTTGCCACAGAAAGACTCGAAAGAGTAGAATGGATATCATGAAATAACCACCTCGAAGAAATGGGAACTGAACCCGAACCAGATAGCAATGACAACAAGGTAGAACAATTGCTGCTTCACATATTACAAATTAAAGTAAGTATTAATTTCATATATTAGTATCTTATTTATTAGTCTTAAACTTATCTTATTTAAATTTGTTAACCCTAGGCCTTAGTCTATCTTTATCAAAATTTATTAAATCTTGCCTAATTACAACTTATTGGACTGTATAAAGTTAAATCTTGCGGAATACTGAAATCTGTCAACTATTACGTTTCCTGTTATCCTATATATATGGTCGTGTTCACATTGTAAAGTGACAAATTTGATTCACTTTTTTCAGGATAATGCAAAATATCATTTCTTCTGTCATGTCTTGGTTCCCTTAGCAAGATTTCATAATGTTTATCCTTGACTACTATGTAAGGTAGAGCCGTTTCAACCGTAAAGGATCATTCTTGTAGCTGCACGCCTGCACTACTGCATTCTCCAACAACATTGCAAGATGCTACATACGGAGTACATTTGGGGTTAGAAAAGTGCGTATTAGACATTTTTGGGGCCCGAAGCAAAAACTTAAATATAGTGCGTCTTAGACTACAAGTGTATTTTATACGTAATTCAGCAATAAAATATTTTACCCCTTATTATTGGATAATTAAAAAAAAAATTGACGGGCATCACAAAATAGAGAACAACAATATACTCCTTTTATTTCATAATAATCACAACACTAACACACATGTTAATGTACAAATTTGACTATATATATTTATTAATCCAAAATTATTTTACATGACATCATATGTTTTTTTTATATATTGGTAACAAGTACCCGTTCAAAAAAAATATATATTGGTAAAAAGTATTATCAGAGTAATAAAAGTATATGAATATTGAATAGCGTAAAAGTCAAGCAATATATTACAATTATCACTTGATGGACTTACCGATATAGTAAAAGATTATTAGCATGATTATGGATATAATTAGGGATGATAAATAAACCAAATATTTCTCACATATATATCTAGTATTTAAAAATTCATTTTATTTTGTAAAAAAAACAAAAATAAAAAAATAAATCTAAGGTGTCGAGGCCCACGAATAGGGGGGCCTGAGCCGTCGCTCAAGGTGCTCTCTTTCCTTAATAGACGGCCCTGGAAAAAAAAAAAGAAAAAAAGATTATCCTATTGCCAAAAATAATACTCTTTCATGGAAAATAATACTAAGTGGATAGTTAATAGGTTTTTGCTCAATGTGAAGTCTATGTATGGGGAGATATGCAAGATGGGCCGATATTGAGCGCGCTGCCATAATCTTGATACGAACGGGTATGGAACCTCGGCAACTGTCATACATATCGTTAAGCATGCAAAAAGTAGACATGTCGGCTTATCGGCGGATGGCACATGGCAGCAGCAATTTGACACTTGACGTGAGACAGTTTGCATGCCATGCAGCCACCTGTCATTTGGAAGAGCTATAAATAAACAGGTTTAATCCCATAATCAAGGTAGCATTTATTACTCTCTCTCTCTCTCACTTTCTCTCTCTTCTTAAACACTTTCTGACTTTGTCATCGGAGTGGTTGTCCCCGGATCCACCTGGGGGTTAGCTAATCTCTGTTCTTTGTATAGGTTCTCATCTGGACGATAAGAGCTTCACGGTTTTCAGGCTCGGGCTTTTGGATCTCGGATTTGGGTTTCGGATCTTGACCGAAACAATCTATATATGTTAGTCTTCATGTTCTTTGAAGCTATATTAGTACTCATGTTTTTGAACTTAGGCTAGATGTTCAATGTATGACGATTTGAAGAGTGAACCTCAAACCTCCAGGATATAAAACAAAAGTTTTACCAAGTGAGTCAACACTTTGTTGAATTTATAATTTATTACCATGTTATAAGAAAATAGATCTATCTATATAGAGTCTTATTCCCGATTGACTCTATAATTAAATGACGTAGAGCAAGGTTGCACTGCACTCTTTTTTCTTACAACTGATTTGTAGTCATGAACCATCTCGAAATTCATTTTAAACAATAGTTTAGATATTTCAATCAATGTTCTTTACTGTTAGTAGAAAAAATATCGATTTTCCTGTCAAAAAATAAACAAATAAAAAATTAAACAATTGATTAAATCTAGTATAGAGAATTAGAGACTATAGACTATAGAGTACTAGAAGAAAATTAAAGGTTACAAGTCTGGCCATTTCTTGTTGGGCTTTTGGCTTTTGCAAAGGGAATTTAAGTTTATGTAAGTTTATGATGGTTTGGGCTTGGACACCTTGTTTTGGGATGCTATTGTAAAAAGAAAGATTGTGTAAATGGGAGGGAAGGTAAGAAGTGACCTTGTATTTTCCTTTTATTTACTTCTTCTGTTCTTTTTTATTTGATCCGTTTATTTTATCACGCTTGTCAATGCAAAACTTTATAACTTTAATTCTCCCTAATTAAAGAATATAAAAGTTATATATTATGATACTACTTATTGAGACGAATTCAAAATGATCCAACATAAATATGTGTTTCCTTACATATAATTCACAAAACACGGTCAAAGGAGGTGTGGTGAATAGTGTAAAAGTCAAATCGGGTCAAGTAAAAAAAACAGAGGAAGTAACTTTTACACTATTTATATACTTTACTTTGACTAATTTTGTTAAATTATGATTAAGAAAAATAAATAAATTTGGAATCGCGTTAGATTTGTCCCACTTAATAGTTATGGTTTTGATTGTAAAAGTTTTTTATTTTTATTTTTATTTTTTATTTTTTATAACCAAATAGGAGTAGTTTCAATAAGGGGTGGAGTATATATTACTTCGTATAAACATTGACTGAATGAGTAATCATTACACACAGCTACAACCGTACAAAGTCTAACCAGTTCACAATATAGTTACGACATTTGACACCATGCCACATCAAATCAAAATCGAGCACCTTTAAATCAATTTAGTACTCCAACAACGTCAGTCGCCAGATTACATAAATAAAATTCAATTCCAGAATTCACAAGTAACAAAATAGAAGAAAAAAAAAAACAATCAAATTTAAATTAACATACATACAAATGTACAATAACCTAATCACAAAGTGCATCATAATAGACGATTAGGATTTAGGAGTAGTGTTAGTAAGTGGTAGAGTATAAATTATAGACAAAGACTCCCAAGACTAATCGTTTGGCTATAAAGAACGCTCACATCTCATCTGCTGTCCCTACGCCACCGACCTCTCAATCCCCAAAATCTTCTGCAAATGATAACAACTCTCCCTCTTTCTCTCTCTAACACACTCTTACAAACCTCACACCTTCCTCCTTTCTTACCCGTTTTCTTTTCTCAACTATCAATCATCTCCTTCTTCCATGGATAACACTAAACACAATCACAATGATAACAACAACATTAACAATAATTACACCAATAATAATAATAATAATAATAATAATAATAATACCTCTCATTTCTCTTCCGATTCCTCCGCCGCCGCAGAAACCACCATCTCCGCCGGAAACAACAACAATAGAGACCAGTTTCTAAGACATCTCAACAAACTATCACACAAGATCTCTAAACCCAGTTCCCTAAACCTCCCACCTTCCAACCTAGCAAGTTCCGGTTCCAATTCCAATGCTTCAACGTTCAGAAAACCACCCAATGAACCGCCGCTACCACCCCCAGTTCACCCACCACAACAACAACCCCCAGTTTACAACATCAACAAAAGCGATTTCCGTGATGTTGTTCAAAAACTCACCGGCTCACCAGCTCACGCGGCGGCTCCGGCGCCGCCGCCGCCGATTCACGCGCCCAAGCCGGCTTCTTCCCGGCTCCAGAGAATCCGACCGCCGCCATTAGCGCAGCTTAGTCCTCGTCCTCCTTCGATGCTGGGTTGTGGGGTCAACCCTCATTCTCCTCTTCCACCACTGCCGACGTGCCACGCGGCAGCTGAGAGTCCGATCTCGGCGTACATGAGGTTTCTTCATAGCTCCGTTGATTCCTCCTTTAATCGGACGGGTCAGATGTTGCCACCTCCTTCTCCGCCGTCGACGGATTTTTCGACGGCTCTTCCTCCTTTTGGGTTTTTGCCGTCGCCAAAGTCGCCGTTCCCTTTTGTTCCGCCGAATATGATGTTTTCTCCGACGGGAAATAGTCCGTTAGGGTTTCCAATTTCGCCGACTGTTCCTGGAGTTCCTAGCCCTAAATGAGAGGAAGAAGGTAAATTTTCTAGGAAATATTTTTTATTTCATTATAAAATTTATATATAAATTTATAGATTTTTCATGTGATCATTTCCCAGAAATGTATGATGAAGGAATTGATAGAATTTAGTTTTGTGGTTTTTGTTGGCTAAAGTTAGGGATGTGCAATTGTGCATATGATGGTTGATGATGTAAATGGAGTAGTGAAGAGGAGAAATTTGATATTTAGATGTTAATGGAAAGGAAATTTGATTATACTGTAGTTTTTATGGTGAAATGTGATGAATTTTCTTGGATTATGAATTTACAAATTCGGTATTCGAATGTTTAGTCATATGAATACTTATATGATTCTCCGCAATTGGTAATCACAGCCCTTTTTTTTGGTGAAATTCTTGAAATTGCATGTGTTATTATGGTGGTAGACTGGTAGTCCTCTATAATTGCTGTTAGCTTAGACTTTCTTGTATTCTACGTAGTATGATGTTAGACTTAGAATTAAGTCATTGGTTGAAGAATTAATCTGGTGAAAAAGCGCGGTTGTTCTTAATGGTTTCTTGGTTCATTTGAAAATCTTGGTAGTGTTGAAAATTTGAGTGTATGGGTAACCTTTTGATATGCTGTTGATCAAAGTTCATGACTGTACATCGCAACCTGTTTTTCAATTAACAAAATGAAGTTTTTGTTAGTGAAATGTCTGATCTGGCTGTTGTGGTTGAATTTTATGCAATTAGAAGTATTGACTGGATCTACTGTGAGGTGGTGCTTTGAAGTTTTGTAGGTGCTTAATCAGCTTACGTCAACCTCCTCTTCTTTTATGTAGTGTTAGTTGCATGTCTGCTTGCAATAAGCTTCTGGGGTGGCAATTAAATTCCCAGTATATTTCCTTGTTCCCTTTCCTTCTGTAGAAAAGTTCAACATATGATTGGTTGCTTTGTTGCTTAATGAATGGGTATGACCGTATGAGGGTATTCTTTTAGAAAACAACATCTCTTTGCCGATTTAGAATTGCAAGGAGTAAGGTTTCGTTGCTGCCTCACTTTGATACAATGGAACCTATAGGCATAGCAGGTGGTGATAGTCTTTCATTATGATACAGGACATACTAATGAAACACAGCTGAACATGATGTTTACTTATGAATTATGACTGCATGATGCATTATCTTCTCAATATACATCTGTAAGTTAGCTTCTGTCAAAGCAAATCTATCATTACCAGTGTTTTAGGTCCAGTGCTGGAGATTACGTTCAATCTGCCCATGTTTGAGGTTTAGCTTTGTCATCAAGAGATTTAATGTTACTTTCTCTTTGCTCAGTATTCCTGTCTGCCAATGTCGTGTGAGCTGTAGGATAAAAAAACTTCTTGCAATTATGAATCTGTCGGATATATGTGTAGCTCTCTCTTATTCACTACTTGTGTTGCTTCCCTTGCTAGATATTTTTGTGTTTGGTAATGTGAGAAGTTGCTTGACACTGCTGAAGTCAACTCATTAAACCCTGGCTGTGGCGCTGTGCTAAATTGCCTTCAGCTATGTTTAATATCTGATATATATGTCAATTTGCTGGTTCTTTATCCCCTCTATGATCCTGCTAGTGTCCGTTGTTCTGTGTCTTTCGTTGCATCCTGGTTGAAGGTAAGTAGCTACCTCATTGCATTCTGTAGAACCTAGAAGCCCCATATGGCGTGTTCTAATCCTTTGACCTTTTGATATGTTGGTTTATATTCTGGATGTCACCCATTTTCTGAAATTAATGTGTTTTTTTGTTTTTGTTGTCAACTCTTAACTATGGGTTTACATCCTTCATCCCGACCTCATTTTTCCTAATTTTGGTTTCTCTTTAGGCAAAGAACATGGTTTCACGCTTCAGGAGACGATGAACATGTAGGTCTAGGAGTCATATTGCATTATAGTATTGATTTAAGGTAGGTTGTTTATGGTAAAAAAAAAAAAACTCATGGGTAACAGGTTTCTGCCTTTTCTGGGGCATGTGCAGTCTTAATTGTAACTAGAAACAAAGTCAGCAATCAGTGATGATATACTTGTATAATGCCACTATCTTACATGTTTTGATAGGTTCATCCATGTGTTAAACTGTTTTTTTATTACCGTATTTCGCTGTATGGTTATTTAAATTTATTATCAGAAGATTGATTGGCGTTGCTCGTAATCTTTCTTGCATACGACGTATCTTGTTGAAGTTTTCTTTTCACCATCATCTATTTTTTCCCCTTTGCACGTATTCTTTCGTGATCCTAGATGGCAACCCATATGATCCGGAAATTTGTTTATGTGATAGTGCCATACTGCCATGTTTAATTGTTTATAGCGTTGGATTGACTTGGTAATACTATCATATTTGTGTCAAATTGGAGTTATTATATTCAAAATTATTTGCTTCTTATTGCAAGGGATGAGTTGCATGTAAACTCCATGTTGTATCATGTTGAAACATTTGTTACTGAGCCTTTTTGTTCAAATGAGGCAATCGTAGAGGGATGGCATAAGTCAGAGTAGTTGCTAGTCTAGCTACCCATGTAGTGTTATTTATTACAGAGAAAAGTAGTAGTTTCTGGACGTTACAAAGGTGTTCTTGATAATGCAATATGTGGTAAAATAAAAATAATTGGCTTAAAAAGTTTCTCCTGTTTTGGTCTATGCTATAATTGCTAGATTTGGAAATCAGTCAAAGAACACTTTGTAAAGAGGAAAAGGTGGGATTAGAAAAGAAATAAAGGAAAGAAATCAGCAGGGCACTGTGCTTCTTTGGTGCTTTGTGAGCTAACTCTTACCAATTTGCTCTGTAAAAGTGTTGGTTTTCATGGTTTTTGGTGAAGTTTTTTATGTTTTTTGGTGAAGTGGGAATCCTTGCTTTGGCCCCCTTTGTTTTGCTTTACGGAGGCCAATCTTTTGGGAAATGAGCTTGATAACGCTCTACTTTGCTCACCCATCATAGGCCAATACTCACTACATCCACCATCAAAAGCAAATACAATGAACTGGTGAGAAAGAAAATTAATATCGGCAAAACTGATTTGTATTTGATTATCGGACATATACGAGTATTTATTTGTGTATTACGCCCAAGCATTGAGTTGAATTAAACAAGATTTTATTTGATATTCCCTTCCGAATAACTAACATGCATGATAATAAGATAATTATTACGAGCATATCCAATTTGATATATGTACAAAATTAGAGAGTCTATTATGTTCACCCGGGTGTTCTGTTCACTCGGAGTCATTTGATCATTCAATCAACAAACAAGTGATTAAATGAGCAAATGACATCGAGTGTATACAACAAATTCTAACAAAATTATCCTATCTTGCAGATGTAATAAAAAACAAATTGATTAGATTTCAATCCAATTCAAATGATCTATGGAAAACATCTTTTGTTTGTTATTGTAATTTTTTTTGTTAAGTTCCATTAAGTCTATGTCTGTTATTGACACAATATTTTCCTTTCACCTTTATTTGTTAATAATAGTAGTATAAGAAATATCGTAGTAGTATTTCCTTTCACATGAGTGGGTGAATGTTGTTAATGTTGCTTTAAAATGTCGTTATCCTAGTGTTGAGGATTGAAGGGGAATGAGAGGCCCACTCCAAGACTAGCGCACACAAGTTGGGCGAGTCTAAAGGCTTTTTCCTTGTAAAAGTGATGTTTTGAATTTTAAGCTTTCATCCGTCCATTAACCTTCTAATTAATATGCTCTTTGCATATGTGATAAGATGGGAGAAATGATCTTGTCAAAAAAAAAAAAGTATGGGAGAAATGAGAACCTACTTTTATGCGGCCCAATTAAGAGCAAATTTAGATATCAATTTGATTAGGAAATTGTTATAGGCACAAGCAATGTCTTGAGTTGTTGCTTAAGGAAATCGTACATGGGAAATATTATCTCAAATCAAAATCCGCGAAAGTTAGAACTCTTAGAAGGCTTTTGAGGGGGGTGGGGAGGGGGAGGGGGGGGGGGCTCATACATATATGTTTGGAGTTATTATTTGTGTCCTATCTCCCTACAAGGTGGACTATGATGATTCTGACTCTTTTAGTATGAGAAAACAAACCGAGTACATGAGGAAAATAAAGAAGATAGTACTCTCTAATATCATTGTAGAGTAAGAAAATAGAGGGTCTGACCAGCACATGTTTGCTTGATATTTTTCACCACAGCCAAAGCATCACCTTCCACCCTCATAGCCAAGTCGAAGAGCACATTGCAAGATTGCATGCTGTAGCCTCTGCCATTTCTGTATCGCTTTCCACCTCAAACCTCTTCACTGCAGCTACAATGATTTGCCTCAAATGATCCCTCGCCACAACACTAACGCTCACATACGATCCCTCCACAATATGTGCATCAACGTTCAGCATAATAGTTCCCCAGGGAGGCTTGGCCTGCGAAAGATAAGGTGGGACAGTAGCAACAGCAGCAGGATTACCACAAACACTCATTGTTGAGAGTCTCCCAACTAGGGCCAAACGAACATGTTCACCTAGACAAACGGAGCAAGCTTCAGTTCCCGGCTTTGTCAATGGCTAAATGAGTGAAAAATCATTAATTATTCCTAATACGAGTATTTAAATCATTGATTAAACCCTGACTAACTCCATAGAAAGAAAATAATAATATCACATAATGGTCTAATGGATAATAGTCCTACTTTTGAATGAATGGGACAAATTCTTAATGAGGATTGAGGAAATCATGGTATAATATGGTACTCCATATGACATTTTTCGTGTGTTTGAATAGAATGACAATACGACATTATTTAGGTGTTTTGAGGAGTTGTAGTAAAGTTTACCCTTTTACTTATTCTTATACTTGTATAACTTGTACCAAGTACTTTACATACAACATATAAGAAGTTATCAAGCTTTGCTTGGTGGGGAAGTGGGGAACTCACTTTGTGACTTTAAGGTCACAAGTTCAAGCCCTACTAATTACAAAATGCTTGGGAATAGAGGGATTTCCATACCTTTTCCCTTCACTCTCAAGCGTTGACCTACGAGGAAAAAAAAGAAAAAAAAAAACATATATGAAGTACTTTCTAACAAACTCTCATTGGTAAAAAGTAAATAATAAACAAATAGCTCTTCTTCTCTTCTGTTGCTCAATCAAAATAGTAGGTTATTCTCTATTTGCAATAACTTAATGAAACTACAGTAACATACAGCTTGAGAATTGGAGTAACTATAGACCACTACCAGGTATGGATAGTTGGAAGCCCATACCATAATAAAAAAATAATATTTATAAAAAAAGAAAAATTCACTTTCTCTCTCTTCCCCTCTTCTCTTCTGGGTTGCAGCTCCTCTTTCCCTCTCTTCCCCTCTTCTCTTCTGGGTTGCAGCTCTCTTCTATGTTGCTGAGTGCAGACCCTCCTCTTTCTCTCTCTTCCCCTTTTGGCCTTTTCTTCAATTTCACTTTCAATTTTTCAAATTTGATTTTCAATTTTCCCCAATTTCCTTTTCAATTTTTCTATGGCTTTTACAACTTTCAATACTTCATCAACTTCTAGTGTTTCTAGCGACCGTGTTTCTGCTACTCGCTTCTTCGCCAAAGCAGCAATTGGCCGCACCACTTATGAAAGTTCAGAGTTCGGTCGAAATTGACGACGATAACTGGTTGTCGGTGCTCAGCTATTATCAACATGTATACTGTTATTATTGACTTATATACTGTTATTATTGATTTGTGTACTGTTATGGTTGATTTCTATGCAGTTATTATGGAGTTGAATATTGTTATTAAGAGAGACTAATTTTTTACAGCATAGGAATTATTACGCAAAATTACATTTTTACCCCTGGTATGGACCCAACGAGCCCATAACTGATAGTGGTCTACACTACTCTGAGAATTGGATTTCTATATTGGAATTGGACCGATTGCCATGCTTGGATAAGGAAATTTTAGAATAGGCCGAATTTCATCCTATTCTATAAAACAAAGTTTATAAAAGGCCCATTTGAGCTGTAAAAAAAGGCCCATTTAATTATTTAACGACACCTTGTCATTAATCCAACTAGTCTTACAAAAAAAAAAAAAAAAAAAAAAAAAAAAACAACAACAATCATCCTGTTTAGGCACAAGTTGTCAATTCGGGTTTGGGTCGGGTCGGGTCAATTCGAGTTAATGACGTAACTTATGCAGGTCGGGTTTGAGTTGGGTCATGCTTGAGTAGGGTCACGTCGAGTCATATATCTTATCGGGTTTGGGTCGGGTTACATTTGGGTCAGGTGAACAATAGGTCGGGTTTTCAAGGGTTAAAACGGGTTAGGGTAATTCTCGGGTTCGAGTTGGGTTCGATTCAAGTCAATAATTTGCGGGTTAGAATCGGGTCGAGTCATTCTCGGGTTTGGCCTAGATCGACTTGGTCTCCCTAGACAAAATGTTTTGATCAACAATAATAAGGTGGTCTAAATTGAATTTAGGTGATTTGAAATCAAGTCAGGAACAATTTGGGTTGAATTTAGGTCGGGTGAATAACAAGTCGTGTTTATTTCAAGTCGGGTTTGTAACCAATCGGATTGAATTTTTTGGTCAGGTAAAATTTAGGTCGGGTCAATAACAGGTTGGGTTGAATTTGGGTCAGGTCAATAACAAGTTGGGTTGATTTCGGGTCGGGTTTGTAACAGGTTAGGTTAGGAACGGGTCGGGTTGAATTCAGGTTGGGTTAGTAATAAGTCAGGTTAAATTCAGGTTTTGATGGGTTAAAACGGGTTTTGGGTCAATTTCGGTTCAAGTCGGGTTTGGTTCAGGTCAATAATTTATGGGTTATATTCGGGTCAGGTCATCTCCAGGTAGGTTCATGTTCGTGTTCGGGTCTCACATACTCGGGTCAACTCGGGTCTAGAGTTGGTTTTATGTCGGGTTTGGGTCACCAATTTTTTGGGTTCAGATAGGTCGGTTAATAATCAGGTGCGGGTCGATATTTCAGGTCGATTCAGCTTTAAACAGCTCTACCTAATACCCTCTGGTAGTCCAATTGGGTGGGTGGAACCATCCAATTTGCCTTTAAACGACCAATTTACCGATTTACAACTTGTATCGATTTCATTAACTCAAGCTTACCACGAACATTTATGACAACATATAATGATCATATATGGATCCAACCGACATTACATGACCCCGAGATGTATCCCTTAAAATCTCAATGTTTTTTTACACTGGGCCCCAAACCTTCGAAATTTCTCAAAAAACGTGGATATTAGACTTCAATTTTGGAATTTTTTGACTTTTTTTCGCCCGGATATAAAAATTGCCAAAATTTTTACCATGGTCCCAATTATCCTTCGGGAGTCCAATTGGGTGGGTGGAATTTTGCCTTTAAACGACCAATTTACCGGTTTACAACTTACACCGATTTCACTAATTCAAGCCTACCACGAACATTTATGACACCAAATAATGATCATATATGGTTCCAAACGACATTATATGACCCCGAGATGTATTCCCTAGAATTTCAAGACTTAACGACACCAGGTCCCAAAGACTCCAAAAATTCTCAAAACGCGTGGATATAGACTTCAATTTTTGAAATTTTTTGCCTTTTTTTCGCCCGGAAATAAAAATTGTCGAAATGTTTACCATGGTCTCTAATACCCTTCGAGAGTCCAATTGGGTGGGTAAAACCATCCTATTTGCCTTTAAACGGTCAATTTACCGGTTTACAACTTGCAGCGATTAAATTAACTCAAGCCTACTACGAACATTTATCACAACATAAATGATCATATATGGTTCCAAACGACATTATATGACCCCGAACTGTATCCATTTAAATCTCAAAAATTTTCGACACCGGGCCTCGAAATATTCCAAATTACTCAAAAAGCGAGGATTTCAATTTTGAAATTATTTGACTTTTTTTTTACCTGGAAATAAATTTTCCAAAATGTTTACCATATTCCCTAATACCCTACGGGAGTCCGATTGGGTGGGTGGAACCAACCAATTTGCCTTTAAATGGCCAATTTCCCGGTTTACAACTTGCACCGATTTCATTAACTCAAGCCTACCACGAACATTTATGACAATATGTAATGATAATTTATTATTCCAAAAGGCATTATATGACTCCGAGATGTATCCCCTAAAATCTCATTTCTTTTCGACAGCAGCCCCGAAACTTTCGAAATTTCTCAAAAAGCATGGATATTAACCTTCAATTTTTAAATTTTTTTTCTTTTTTTTCGCACGGAAATAAAAATTGCCGAAATGTTTACCATGGTCCCTAATAGTCCAATTGGTTAGGTGAAACCATCCAATTTGCCTTTAAACGACCAATTTACCGATTTACAACTTGCACCGATTTCATTAATTCAAGCCTACGACGAACATTTATGACAGCATATAATGATCATATATGGTTCCAAACGGCATTATACGACTCCAAGATGTATCCCCTAAAATCTCATGCCTTTTCGACATTGGGTCCCGAATCCTCCAAAATTTCTCAAAAAAGCGTGGATAGCCTTTAATTTTGGAATTTTTTTTTTAATTTGCCTGGAAATAAAAATTGCCAAAATGTTTACCATGCTCCCTAATATCCTCTGGGGGGTCCAATTGGGTGGGTGGAACCATCCAATTTGCCATTAAACGGTTAATTTATCGATTTACAACTTGCACCGATTTCATTAATTCAAGCCTACCACAATCATTTATGACAACATATAATGATCATATATGGTCCAAACAACATTATATGATCCCAAGATGTATCTCCTTAAATCTCAAGCCTTTTG